GGAAGGGAAAATCCCTGTCTTAGTTAAAGAAAGGCTTAATCTACATCTTAAGGAAAAGGGAAGTTCCCTGTCTTGGGAAGGCATAAGCAAAAGAATACACTAATCGGTTGAAATATACATCTCAAAGATAATATGCCAGGGACAGGAGGTAGGAAGAATCCTGTTAATAGAAAGTAAAAAGGTCTGTTAATGTTTGTGGGCATGACTTCCCCAGTCCCCTTTTGAAAAGATTTTGGAAAAATAGGAAAAGTAGTCAGACTTCTGTCCACAAGATCAGTAATAGTCACTAAATTAAAAAAATAATCTAAATTCTATTAATTCTAAAACATTATTAAATTAAGGGACCTCAAACAGTGCCTGCAGTAAACATAATGGCTAATATTTCTCTTACAGAAACAAGTCCTTTGGCAGGGAAAAATAGAGTCTGGGGAAAAACATCATGAAGGACATGGTCAAAATAAAATGTTTTTATCCAACACAGGATATCCAATCAGGAATCATAGAATCATGGAATCAAATTGACTAAACTCTAAAATGGCTGTTTTGAAAGTTGAATAAAAACTGTCACAATGACCCATCTACCTACCCCAAGAGTCTCACTTAAAATGCCAAGTGTAGATATCCTCAAATGGGAAAAGCTTATTTACTGAACTCATCTTATACCTTATTTCTTTAATAGGTTTTATTAATGTATTTAATTATTTCTTCCACCAGAGGGGCACCCCATCACCATCTTCACACTGTGATGCACCCCAGCATCAGTTAGCCTACATCACAGGCACACACCTGCACACTGTGTGCACTCAGGGCGGTCTCAGGATGTGAAGTCAATACCTTCCCAGCAGCACCACCACTGTAGCCAACCTTTTCTATTTTTAAAAAAATGATTTAACACAGACTGCAATAACTAACAGTCAATAAAGCCAACAGAATATTAAGACTAAGTTGGGGGCTGACCCCATAGTGCTGTGGTTAAATGCTATGCATACAAAGCTGGATCCCACAGAACCAAGTACAGCTCAAATCCTTGCCCCAATGGCTTAAAGAACATATTGGGCAGTACACATGCCCCAAATCCTGACAGGATGGAAAATGGAGGGAAAAAGGACAGCGGCAGGACCATGCCCCATTGGAGATACTACTTTCTCTCTCCCTGTATCTCTGGTGAGTGCACATGGGCTCTGGTACTACTAGAAGAGGAGAGTGCAGAGGGAAGAGGGGAGAGAAAAGGAGAAAGGAGAGAAATGACAAAAAGAAGAGAAAAAGGAAATTATGACCAAGCAAGAATATTAACCATAAAGGCTAATATCACTATTAGTTTGACATTAAATCTTGCTCAAAAATTTCCATTAATTTCAAAATTAAAAGAACCACTTTTTCCCAGTGATTTATTTAACCCATGTATACTTTTTAAAGACTTTACTAAAAAATTTTAAAGTAATTTATTTTAGAAAAATGATATACATAAATCCAATTTCATGGGGCCAGCAGTGGCATGATGGTTAAGGCACTGGCGTTCCACATGGCTGATTGTTGTTGGAGTCCCAAACCTGGAGGCTTGCTTTCTCACTTTCCTTATCTGTCTCTAATGACTATAGCAAATAATAATAATAATAATAATAAATTATTTTAAAAATAATTTCAGCCTCCAGTTTTGTATTGAGAAATTTCATGCACACAAAACATTTAAAATTTTACAATAATCACCCATACATCCATCACCTAGATTATGAATATTTCACCATGTCTATGTCTCTTTTTACACTTAAATTTATTTGTTTTAAGGTTTTTGCTGCTTTCCCTTAAGTTTATCTACTTGTCATTTCCATGAGAGACAAAGAAAGACACACAGAGACAGACACAAAGGCAGCACCCTCAACAGTATCTTGATACTCACCCCCAGCCAACTCCAGATCACGGACATGAGTATGCCCAGCATACTCATGGAGGTCTCTGGACAGGAACCTGCAACCTTTCCAAATGGGTGAGCCTAGCAGAGTGTCTACCAATGTACCACTAGCCACCCTATTGTTTACTGACAAATGATTTTAAACAAAATTGCAGACATTTTACCCCTTACTTCAGAGTAATCTCCTTTTCAATCACTACTATTGTCATAGCTAAGAATAATTGTATTTCATCCAGTAGAAAAGCCCATCAAATGTCCTCTACTAGCCTCAAAACATCTTTCTTCAACTTTGCTATCCAACCAAGAGTCACACATAGCAGGATTCTGCCTCACTAATCATTTTTTATGTCCACAGGGCCCCAGGAAATGTCTCATTTATTCTTAATTTTGTGCAGTTTTAGAAACTGTCATTGAAGATTTTAATGAATTTGGAAATCTAAAAGACTTGTCAAATAATGATCAGGAAATAAAAACATTTTATCTCAGAAATATTTACCCAAGACATAACAATTTAAATTTTCTTTATAAAGTACCCTTTGGAAACAGGAAGTAAAATAGATTGTGCAATTAAATTGCTTTGAGAAAAGGCCCAACAGAGATGAATACCAAAATGCCCATTGTTTTTTCTTGGAGGTCCTGAAATCTGGGTGGTCTCACAAATATTCAAAATGCTGCAATATAAATGTTAATAGCATTCTGCTTAAGAGCTGGGCCAGTTTCAGCATCTTTGACTTTCATTCAAATACCAGGCTGAAAACCTTGATCATCAAGCACTTGTCACCATGAAATGTTTTAGCCACCCTATAAAAGCTACATTTCTTTAAGATAAGAGAGGAATTTCTGGAAAGGGGAGGGAAAATTACAGAACTCACAATAAAAAAAAAAAAGATTAGATCCTTCTAACCTTCTAGTTTGATGATCTAATAAAAGTATCATATCTAAAATCTCTTGAGTTTTTTCCTCTAGTCTCACTTCTTGAAGGTATATAAAGTAAATTCAAAATCATAAAACATTTACATGTTTAAAAAATTAATTTGAGTGACAAAAAGATGGTACAGTTCGAGGCCCAGAGCAGCGGCTTGAAACTCACGCCGGGCTCCTGTGCATGCCTGCAATCCCAAAAGGAGAATGGAGAAGGAAGAAATACAGTGTGGCCATCTCCCCCCACCCCCCATGGCCAGAGGGCTGATATTTGCTTCCTGTCTCTCTGGCAAGCATACACACCCTATAGCAAAAAATCTCTCTCATAAAAAAATGTTTAAAAAAATTTATCTGAATATGGAAAGCAATAATCTACAATACAAAAAATATAAACATAAATTTAAAAATGCATACTGACCTAATTTTAAAAAGCTGTTTTTATGACAACAATAGAAAACAGGACACTATATACAATTAGTAACAGTTTAATCAATTATAACACTGTAGCTTTCTAGGTATAGGGTAAAGACATTGGGAAATGTGATCTTGAAAAAGAAAAAAACGTTTTCCACTCTCTCCTTCAACAACTACTAAAAGTTAAGGCATAGACATGATTAGACCACAGACATTTATATTGGAGCTATGCCATGACTCTACAACATTAAACAGTTAAAAAAGAAATTCTCATTTTCTTTTTAAGTATGGTTAATCTAAGTTTATTCATTTGATCAGATGAAGACAGAAGAGAATCATTGTGAAAATATGCAATCTAAAATAAGACAATGAGATGCTTTTCTGATTCACTGCTACATATAAGAAAGAGCATGCTTGCAGTAGAGTGAAAAAAAAGCTCACAACCAATTCCAGTTAAGATTTGCTGCTTGAGACCAGCAGATGGCATAATGGTTTTGTCACTGAACTCCCATATACTGGACTAGGGTTCGAGTGCTGGACCCAGTGGCATAAACTCACACCAGGCTTGCTTGCCCAAGATCCCTAGAGAAGAATGGAGAAGGGACTGCAGCAAGGCTATCCCCCTGGGGGGGTGATTTCTCACTTTCTCTGTCTTTCCAGTGAGCACATGCAAAAACCTCTCTTAAAAAAAAGATTTACTCCTTTATGCCACTCCCAACCAACTTCATCCCCTACATCTGTACTAGTCTACAATCAATGTATTAGGTTATCACAAATAAAGAAACATCAGGGCAAAGTAACGTAAGAAAAGCTTTAGATCTAAATTATCTTAGTAAGTATTTACTGCATTATCTACTAGGCACACAATAGGCCTGGAAACAGTCCCTGGGAATAGTCTACCTTGGAACTGTTAACATAATTATTACCAAAAGATATTTTTTAAGTATTTCAAAAAATACATTGTAATTTTAGTATTTAGTTAAAAAGCATTTGATTTTTGTGGATACTCCCATATAATTGAAAATTAGAAAAAATGCAAACCAACATTAGGACTATTCCTAAAGTGATCGATGGATTTTTGTCTGTTAATACAAACCTCAAGAAGACCAGCTTTTGTGGTCACCACCAACATGTCAGAATTTCCTTCATCTTCCATGGTGAGCAACTCTTCAACTGGAGAAGAAGCTCGAAACTGAAAAGGTGTACTTGCTCCACGAATTTCACCCTTATGGGTAACATAACAGAACTGATAAAATTCTCCATCATCATTAGGAAGGTAATATCCTAAAAGAAAGCAAACAGCAAACTTTAACTTCCTCTTATATAATTAACGTTATTTTAATTTAATTAGTAATACATGCCATCTCTTTTTTTTTTTTTTTGAGAGGTTTTCGCTATAGGGCACGTACGCTCGCCAGACAGACAGAGAGAGACAGAGACAGAAAGCGAGAAATCACCCCCCAGGGGGGATGGTCACACCGCAATCCCTTCTCCTCCCTTCTCCTCTCGGGATCTTGGGCACGCACGCACACGCGCCCGGCGTGAAATTTAAGCTACCAGATCCGAGACGCAAACCGTGGTCGACTACGTGGGAGTCCAGCGACATAGCCATTACGCTAACTGCTGGTTCCCAATACGTGCCATCTCTTATTCCTCACATTTCTAGACACCTGAGATAGGTCCTTCCTTTTACGTTTCATAAATTATCTATCAAAACTAGACTCTTCCTTCCTTCTTAAACATACCCAGACTTTCCTTGTCTAGGTCTAAGCTTATACTCCCAGAATATCCTTTTCCCTTGTATCTTCACTAGGGCAACCAACTCACTGGGTGAGGCAGATATATACTTTACAATGGAAAAGAGGCTAGAGGAGGTGCAAGGAAGAACCAATATAGAAATGAAGAGGACTGGGAGGGTGGATGGGATTATGACATTTAGAGAAATCTTCCTTCGGGACCAGCAGTTAGTGTAATGGCTGTGTCGCTGATAATTTCTCACTTTCTATTTCTGACTACAGTTAGCACATATGCCCCATAGCAAAAATGAAATTTTTTAAGGAGTCTCCTAATAAAAAAAAAAGTTAAACTGTCTGAAGCTACTTTGCACATGTCAACAAGATCCAAGTCAGATACTACCTCACATAAAATAGTAATTCTAACTTAGGTAAAACCTTATCAATTAGATATGGTTGACAATATTTATCAGCTACGCTAGTAGTTCCCAAACTTCTACATATTAGAATCATCCAGTAATCTTTCAAAAATTCCAAAACCAGACAATACCTCAGTCTCTGGAAAAAAGACATACACAACTGTGTATCTCAAAACTCAGGTAATTCCAAAGTATAGTCAAGTTTGAAAAACCATTATACTAGAAGTTATTTGCATAGGCTCTAAGTTATGCTGAACTTAAAAAAAAAATAGGCTGATACTCTTTCTCAGTATCTATAATAAAATGACTAAAATTTAAAGGGGCTCATTACAAAAAAATTTTCTATAGTAACTAATACTAGGAATGTTTATCCCAAAATCAAACGTTTTTGTTCATTTCTTAAGAAAGCATCTGCATACTAAGTATTTACAGTAACTATTTCAATATAGTCTGGACCCTTAGATGTTTTTAGTTAAGCTACCATAAAATAAATTTAATTTAAAAAAATGTTACGTTTATGTATTTAATTTGAGGGAAGGGGAAACCCTGGCAGGGTCTCACCCCACCACGATCTACTATCACCCTTCAGCCAGTCACGATCTTCGGTGCATCTAGAATTTTCAGACAGATCCTGGAGCCAAACCCAGAGCCTTCCCATATGGCTCAAGTTTTGAGCAGCCACTGCCTACATCACCATGACTAGGCCTACTTTTCAACATTTTGAGGAAAGTAAACCAGATCAAAAAAAGAAATTATTTAGGGTTTGTAAACACATGAAAGATTTTTAACTATCATTACAATATAAGAAAATAAACTTTATTTTCACTTTCTAATCTTGAGTATATTTTAAAAAACTGCCATAGGGGTGTGCACTCATCAGTGACAGACGGGCGAGAAGAATAAGCATCCCTCGATGGGATGTAGTCACATCACATTCCTTCTCCATTTCTCCACCCCACAGAGATTTTGAGCATGCACACATGTACACCCAGCCTGTTTTTCAAGCTCCCAGGGTCAAGATTTGAACCACAGGTGGCCAAGTGGGATATCACTTCCTTAAGCATTAGGCTATCAAGACAGCCTTAGCATTTTTTTAAGTAATAATTCATACAATGTAGGTTTCTCTCTGCTAGAATAAAAACTATTTTTTAACTTTTTTTTTTTGGAGAGGTTTTGCTATAGGGCTCAGGCACTCGCCAGAAAGACAGAGAGAGACAGAGACAAAAAGAGAAAAATCGCCCCCCCCCCCCAGGCAGAATAGCCATGCCACAATCCCTTCTCCTCCATTCTCCTCTAGGGATCTTGGACACGCACGCACACACGCCCAGCGTGAGTTTAAGCCACCAGGTCCGGGACTCGAACACGGTCAACTACATGGGAGTCCAGCGACATAGTCATTACTCCAACTGCTAGCCCCAGAATAAAAATGTTAATAAAGTCTACTGCTTAAAGATAGGAGGGACACAGAGGAAAAACTCTTTATTACTAGCAGCCCCAAAGAACAGTAACAAAGTACTAGAGAGGTCAAGTAGTGCAGCAGTAATACACCTAAAACACCATGGGAGAGATCCCATGTTCCTGTCCTTGGATCTTCCTGAAGATAGATACCAGACAGGCGCACACACCTGTGATCTGGGCCAGCTGAGAATGGCAGTAGATAACAGTGTGAGGACTCTTCCTGGAGCTGTGCACCGTGAGTGCATGCGTGCGTGCGTGCGCGTCTGTCTGTCTCTCATGGAAGAAACAGATAAGAAAACTTAAAAAATAAAGTCCTAGAATAGTTGAGAGAGGCATATAACCTTCTAAGGAGCAAAGGAAGAGCCTTTCAGAGGATGTTTAACCAGTGTTTAAAGAACTTTAAAAGAATTCAGGTTATTATCTATCAACTTCGATGGAAAAAAAATCTTTATTTTTATTAATATGTAACCAAAATTTCAGCATGTCCTGTTTATTAATACAGGCAACAAGATAGAGTATCAATACTTGTCATTTTTGTTACTAATAGGAATTGCATATGTTACCACTACATTATAATTTGTTAATGGTATCTCAATATTATTTTACTCTGAAATTATGGCAGTTATTAATCTGCTAGTATATCTCATTAACACAGGAACACTGAAGCACGTATTTGACACATCACAAATTTGTCAGTGTCTTCTAATTATTTCAATTGGTTTTACTTATAATTCTACACATTTCATTTTATATACATTAAAATATTAATTCTTACACAAAGTCCTTAAATTTCACCAGACTAAAAATACATTGCAGACCAAAAAGAATATACAGACTAAAAATGTGTTACTTAACAACCCAAGTCAGTACTATAACATAAAATCATTCTATAGCCAATTCTGTAATAGACTTCTGAGTAAGAGTATTTTCTTCCAATTTTTAAAAAAGTTTTATTTCCTCCATGAAAGAGGGAGAGGCAGAGACAGACCAGCACCCCTAACAGGGTCTTTATGTCTCAATTCATCTCCAATCTCAGTCAGTTTGAATCACAGGCACACCTGAAACATACAGGGAGGCCTTGGGACATGAAATCAGCACATTCCCAGGTGGGTCCAGTTAGTTTACCATTGCACCACTGTTTGGCCCTCAATTTTTTTCATCATGGTAAAAAGTAAACTGAAACTTATACCCACTATACAGTAATTCCTTATTCTTTTTTTTTTTAATTTATTTACATTCATTCACTGTACATCATTATAGCATACAAAATGAGATTTTTCCATTGAGAATACACTGTATATTGGCTCAATCAAGCACATCAACATATGTGTTATTGTCAACAAATCATTTTCCATTTATTGTTTTCTGTATATTTTGCCTTTTTTCCCGTCTTTGATTCCCTATCTCACCCTCTGCCATCTCCCACCCTCCTCCCACACTGTGTCTGGTATCTATTGTTGCTTTCTATGCCTCCCCCATTTTATTGTTTCACTAAATATCTTAATAAATCTAAATATTTTCAATAGCAAGCACAGCTGATATGTGCATATCCGTGAACACAAGTCTGACTTTAGGCATAAACAAACCTCAGTGAATAGAATGAACATACTATAAAGTAGCACCTAACTAGGGCTATATAGCTTAACTGCAGTCATCAAATAGGTATTTCTAATGCCTTTTTTTTTTCTTCTGAAAATTTTTTTTAATTAATTTACATTCATTCCCGAGCATCATCACAACATTCAAAATGTGGTTTCCCATCTAGAATATACTGCATAGTGGCTTAATAATGCATGTTATCATCCATAATATTCCATTTCTACTTTCATATATATGTTTTTTACCCCATGTCTAGCCCTCTGCCCTATTCCACTCTCTTATTACACTATCTCTGCTGTCTACAGTTGTCTTCAATCCCTTTTCCCCCAACATTTCGTTGATCACACAATATCATAAGTAATCTAACTACTTTCAATAGCAAGATCAGCCGATGGTTTCAAGAAAAGCAGTTTTGAACTGGTAAGGATATTTCTTTGAAACTTAAAGCCTAGAAACAGGTTAGTATTCTGTTCAAATAGTAGGAACATGAATCTATTGATAGCTGAAGACAGGACAAAAATCCTTAAAACCGGACAACAAAGCTTAGAAGAAAAGCAGCAATATTTTAGTCAAGTCGTAGAATACTGTTTCATCAGTTCAGTCTCATGTACTTAATCTTTCTTCTGTATCTGTTGAGGTTCGATGTTCCAGATTGAAATCTGGGATGTAATACTCAACTCCAGCTTTTGGCCCTACAATTAAGTTGCCCATTTTCTTAGTTTCTGAACTCTTATTTCTGTGTGTCTGCATTTAATTTTACTGACATAGCACTCCCTTAAGAACTTCTTGGAGATCCGGTCTGGTGCTGGTAAATTCTTTCAGGTTTTGTTTATCTGGGAAAGTTCGTGTCTTTTCTTCCCAAATGAACGATAACCTTGCTGGGTACAGAATTCTCGGTTGAAATTGCTTTTCCCTTAATACTTTGAATACATTTTCCCATTCTCTCCTCGCTCTCATTGTTTCCGATGAGAGGTCTGCCGTTAGTCTGATGGGATACCCTTTGTAGGTAACTTGCCTTTTTTCTCTTGCCAGTCTTAGTATCTTGTCTTTGTCTGTGGTTTTGGTCAATCTGGCTATAATGTGTCTTGGAGAAGATCTTCTTGGGTTGATTCTATTTGGGGTCCTCTGTATTTCTTGGGACTGAATCTTTGAGTGCCTCTCCAGGTTTGGAAAATTTTCTTGTAAGATTTCATGGAATAGATTATCAATGCCCTTATGAGTCTCTTCACCTTCTGGGATGCCTATTATCCGGATGTTTGGACGTTTGATGGTATCTAGTACTTCTCGCATATTATTCTCAAATTTTTGGGCCATTTTCTCAGTCTTCGCGGTGGATTTTTCTAGGCCAACCATTTTCTCTTCTACATTAGAGATTCTATTTTCTGTATGATCTAGTCTGCTTTTAATACTTTCAAGGGAGATTTTGACTTCTTGTATTATAGCCTTCATCTCTAACAGTTCCATCTGATTCTTTTGTAAAGTGTGAAATTCCTCTTTTAGATCTAGCATGAATTTCCTCACCTCCTGGAACTCTTCAACTCCTTTCTCCTTCCTCTTCAGCAGTTCCTTGTCTCTCTTCTCTTCCATCTCTGTTAGCTTTGCCATTATGAATGTTCTGAATTCTTTATCAGACATTTCCATGATTTCCATTGAACTGTGTGTGGATAAAGAGGAGCAAATGGCTAGATCACAGGAGCCATGGAGCTGTCTGTCTCTTGAAGAAGGGCTGTTCACACGAGTTTTGGATGCTGGAGGCTCAGTTATCAGTGGGACATCTTCCTTTCTCCCCAAAATCAGTAATTCCTTATTCTTCCCTTCCCTTAGTCGTAAGCAACCATCACTCTGTTTTCTGTCTCCATTAGTTTGTCTACTCTATGTATTTCATATAAGTGTAACCATACAGTATTCATCTGGCTTAATGGACTCTGCATAATGTCCTCAAGATTCATCCACATTGTAGTATGTGGTCAAAATTATCTAAGATTTTTTTTTAATCTATATATAAGGCTATAAGACACATTCAATTCATAGGAATGTATATATGACAGAATTAATTTAACTACTAATTACTGTAGTTTTTGATCTAGGTTAGTTTCTTCACCTCTGACTTCTTACATTATAATATCAGAAATAATATCGTTGGGGCTAGCAGGTAGCATGGTAATTAAGGCGCTGGACTCCCACATGGCCAAGCATGGTTCAAGTCCCAGACCTGGCAGCTTGCTTTCTCACTTTCCCTCTCTCTGTCTCTCTCTAGACAAATTAAAAATAATTAATGATGAGGCTGGCAGGTGGCGTGGTGGTTAAGGTGCTGGACTCCAACATGGCCAACCACAGTCTGAATCTTAGACCTGGTGGCTTGCTTTCTCATTATCTCTGTTCAAAATTTAAAAACATAATAAAATTAAATAAATGTTTAAAAAGAGTAATAATAAATAAAATTAAATAAATAATTCAAAAAATAGTATTGTTTTCTCATTTGGAAAAAAAAATCAGCAAAAGCAAAGATCTGGACAAAGACTGTCTTTGATAAATAATTTGTCTCTGAGTTTTTCTTTTTTTAAGGATGCATGCACTCACTGGAGAAAGAGAGAGAAAAAGACAGCGGAAAAGTGAAAAATCACCCCCCTGGGGAGATGGCATGCCACATTTCCTTATCCTCCATTTTCCTTTGGGGCTTTTGGGCATGCACACTCATGCACCCTGCATGAGTTTAAAGCTGCCGGGTCTGGGCTGTGGTCAACCATGTGGGAGCCCAGCACCTTAACCACCACTCCATTTGCTGGCTCAAGATAATAAATTTTTAAATGTCTATATAAAACATCATGTGACAGGCCAGCTGGTGGTTTGGTAGTTAAATGACAGCTGGATCCCACATGGTCAACTGTGTGGTTCAAGTCCCAGACCCAGGAGCTTGAAAAACAGGTTGAGCATATGTGTGCATGCCCAAAATCCCCAAAGGAGAGAGAAATGGTGAAGAAAGGATCGTAACATGACCATGATCCATGGGGAATGGGTCTCGGCTCTCTCTTTCTCTCTCTTATGGTGTGGCAAATTAAAAAAGAAATCCTGTGGTTTACACTACTACTCATACTCTATGACTTTTGGTAAACAACAATATTAATTCAACTTTGCTATTCCAGACATACCTAAACAGGTAACAGCAATGGGGTACAATATTTTAATGGCAATAAGACACCTAATTATACAGAGTTCTGCAGCTTTTCACACTTACCTTGAAACGCTAGTACACAATTAACTGTTGATCCTTCTACATAATGTTCAGGCATTGGGGACCATAAAAATGTGTAATAATCACGAGCGGTACTCCATCCAACCTAAAGTAAAACAACAACAAAAGAGGTGTAAGTAAATATTAGCCTGATATAGCACTAGTTTTTAAACTAAAACATTTATATATTTATAAATCATGAGTTAAAATAGAAGCATATCAAATTAAGATTTTTTTATTAGGCTATAGCCTAAAGCTATATAAATAGACATCAATTGTATAGCCAAGTTTCTACTATTATTAAAATGCAATTAGCTGGGACCAGCAGGTGGCGCCGTGGTTAAGGTGCTGGATGGACACTCCCATATGGCTGACCAAGGTTTGAGTCCCAGACCTGCTGGCTTGCTTTCTCACTCTCTCTCTCTCTCTCTCTCTCTCTGTCTGGTCAAATGAAAATAAATGAATAAATTTAAAAAATTAAAGTAAAATAAAATAAAATGCAATTTGCTATTCAATTTCTCAAGGATAATATAAGCAAGCACATAATCAATATAAAAAATCCTGTCGTGCTTAAAATTTTATTTTACTAGGACCAGCCAAGGCCATGGTGTTTAAGGCAGCTGGATCCCACATGGCCAATCATGTGGTTTGAGTCCTGGACTCAGCAGCTTTAGAAATATGCCAGGTATGTGTGCTTGCATATATGCCCCAAATCCCCAAAGTAGGGAGAAATGGAGAAGGAATAAAGTGACTGTTCCCAACGGGGGATACTATGTTTTGTTCACTCTCTGGGGAGCACAGGTACCCTATGGCAAAATCTAAAGAAAAAAATGATTTCATTAACATAATGGCTTTTTTAAAACTTATTTTATACCTCTATTTAAGTTCCTTATTTTATTCTACTTAGATATCTCTTCTCCTCCCTTAAATTCACTAACTAAATTCATTAATCATCTCATCTTTGTCAAATGTCTGTAGCTGATTTGTAAATTTTTATTTGTAAAATTTGTTAAAAAGAGAAAACTTGTAATAGAAGATATTTATACAAATGAATAGATCACCTATATCTCACCTATTGCTAAAACATTTTAAAGGACAATATGAATATATATATATATGCTATTTATTTCAATTCATTATTTCCCAAAAGTCAGTATCATGCAAAATACCCTCCCCCCCAAAAAAGACATTTTGAGTGGTTATGTTTTGTTCTTATTTTACTTTCTGTAACTGAATTACAACAGTTCAGGCTGTTTCCTACTGGCAGACTCCAAGGGTAACCCATACTTGGCTTTTCTGATTACTTATGTTTAGACAACCCATCTCAGAGAATAGGCATCTGTGCTGAGAATCTCACATGATTATCCATGTCAGACTATCAGCACCAAAAACAGACAGGAAAAGAAGCAAGCCTACAGAGAAGTTGGGGCAAGATACAATCTTCTTCTGAGTACAATTAGAACAAAGCTATGCTTTAAGCCCCCTCTGAGGAAGGAAAATGGAAAAGTTCTTAGGTCATTTTGAGAGGGCCATGATAGGCATACACAAAAACATAAATGTAATAATCTCTCAACCTAGAAAGACCAACAAAAGAGGCTCTTTGGCTTTGCAATAGCTATTCTAAGCTCCCACATGAGATTATGTTAGAAGATAGACATCTAGAAATTATGTGCAGGAGTCCACTGGGATAATTACAATGTAACAGACATCTAGGCCAGCCTGTGGTATGGTGGTTAAGGCAGCTATATCCCACACAGGCTTAAAAAAATACACAGGGCCTATCTGCACTCCCCAAATCCCAAGGAAAGAGAAGGGATTGAGGTCTGGCCATCCCTCCTAGGGGGTGATTTCTCTTTTTCTCAGTATCCAAATTACAGGTTGCTTTCCAATCACCTGGCTAGAACTTGTATCTCAATAATGCTGGACACACTGAAATACAAAGGAATTTACTTTTTTAGTACACTAGTACCAAGTATAATTAAATTATTACATTTATAGTTGTTAACCACAATTTTGAAACATTAAAAAATGGCTCGGAGAATATAGCAACACTTAGACAAAATAGTTACCTCTGACTGTCAAGATATACTGCCCTCTAGGAACTATACTGAATCCAGTTAACCAGTTAACTGTATCCAGATACATGGTTATAGGCTATATCTATCTCGAGGAAGAAACTGCAACAATAGGTATTTCACATAGCTTAGTTTGGAGATTTATAACAGCACTGGCATCATTCTTTTATTACTATTGTAACAGCTAAATAATAGGAGAAATAAAAACTAAATAAGGGTGACATGGAACAACAGCCAAAATACCACAAATATGTTCCTTTTAAGGACTGACGTTTTTCAAAAACATGTTTAACCAAATGTATTGATCATAAAAGGGAATCCTGAGAGCATAGAAGAGACTGGAATGACATCAAGGTTATCTAGTAAATATAAACATAATAAATTCTAGAAAAAAAGAAAAACATTAGGGTAGGAAGAATGAACATGAGAGAGAGAGCTTGGAGTTGGGAGCTAATTTTGGGGTAGGAGCAAAGGAAGATAGATACAAGACTTGAATTAAGAAAGGCACTAAAATTAATGAGTTTATTATATATGGGTATAGGAAGATTCGAAGAAAAATAATTCAGTGGTATAGGTAAAAAATTAGCCTATAGGAAGTATAAAATGAGTTTACAATTTTGTAAAATATAGAATGAATAATAGGCATTTCTGGGAAAGGTGGGGGTACAATAGTTAAGAAACATTCACTTTCTTTCTCTCGTATATTACACAGTTTTTTAAAAAACATACTATCAGAAGAGTAAAGGTCCTTCCTTGCTTTGAAAAAAAAAAAAAAGTGAAAATGCCTAGATATAAAATAGCATAAATATTCCTACACAACATAAAATGCTACAGTATTTCCTGTAAGTGGTGATAACCATATGTAAAAAACTGAGAACATAAAACAAGGAAGGCATGCAATATGATGCCAACTTATTCAAATACATGCATTAGAAAAAAGACTGGAAATCTCCTTCCTTTGATAAAGCCAAACTGCAGAGAAATATTTAAAACATAGCCACTTAAGTGCTTATTTTTATTAGGTAGAGATTTACTTGGGTAGTAGGACAACTGCTAATGTTAGTTTTCTTATAATTTTCTCTATTTTTCCAAATTTTCTGAAATGATGATATTTCCATAACCAGAGAACTTTTTAATTTAACAGAAAACGAATGGGACAGAACTGGAAGGGTAACCAGAACAGAAAAATGGAGGAACAGAAATATGAAAAAGAAAGGGGAAACAAGGAATGGAGAAACCAAAGCTTGAAACAAGATATTCAAGCATTCAAATCACTGTTTAGGTCCATTTTCCAAGCAAGTTAGCTTTTGATCTGTTTGGCAGCATGACAGTGAGAACAGTTACCTTACTAGGAAGTTTTGTGTAGTCCAGGATATATTCACTTTGTGAACTTTTTTTTGTTTGTTAAGAGATTTTTGCTATAGGGCACGTGCGCTCGCCAGAGATAGAAAGCGAGAAATCACCCCTCAGGGGGATGGTGACACCACAATCCCTTCTCCATTGTCCTCTCAGGATCTTAGGCACGCATGCACACGCGAACGGTGTGAGTTTAAACCACCGGATCCAGGACTCGAACCATGGTCAACTACATGGGAATTCAGCAACATAGCCATTTACACTAACTGCTGGTCCCTAACTACTGGAATTTGCCCTTCTAATTTTCTCAGCTAGACTAGTATCTCTCAAATGTGAGAAATGTAAGACTCCTTCTAAAGTTTAAGCATAGACCTTCAGAGCTACTGTAAATTATAATTATTGTGGTAATTTAATTTGTTCTAGCCATAGACTAAACATAAAAAAATTCCTTAGGCTTACGTACTTATGTAACTGAGTCCAAATCAAATTCATTAATACTAAATGAACAATGAAATTCAAATATACTATTACATAGGCACACTGAACTTATTAGCAACTCTTGCTAATTTTGGACGATCAGATCTCTCAATCAAAGAGACAGAAAACAATTCTTGAATGTTAGCTTACACGAAGTTCAAATCTCAGCTCCAACATTTAATAGATAACCTTGAGCAAACCACTTTTCTCTCTGGATCTGTTCCCTCATCTGCTAAATGGGGAATATCAGATGAAAGATCTTTGTGAAGTATAAAGTAATAAATGTGTTACATGTTTATTTCAGTTATAATTAAAACTAATCATTACATTCTTAAGAGTTAAAATTGCCAGAAAACCTCCAGCACTGCAATGACCATCTCAACATAATTTTTCAAGCAAGTATTAGACAAATTGGTAAAATATAAGAACTGAGAGTCCTGTCATCAGAGTTTAATTTTAAATCATGTAAAACAAAACATTCTCCTAAAGTAAGACAATATGAGCAATTATTATTATTTTTTTTTTTTAGGTTTTTTTTTCTTAGGGCATATATGCTTAGGAGGTGTAGGGGGACACAGATAAAGACAGAGGGAAAGTCAAAAATTACCCCCCAGAAGGGATGGCCATGCCATAATCCCTTCTCCTCCATTCTCCTCCCTGGATCTTGAACACCCAGCATGATTCTCAAGTCACCAGGTCCAGGGCTCAAACCACAGTTGTCCATGTGGGAGTCCAGTGACGTAAGCAATATACCATCTGCTGGCCCATTATGAGTAATATTTAAGTACACAGGACAAGAATGGAAAAGATAATACATAGCATACGCTATTCATTCATCTATTTAAAAAGCAAATGTAAAAAGCTTATGTGAAAGAAATATTCAGAAAGTTTTCATACCTTGAATATACCAACCCAATCTTTTGGATGTGGATGGATATATGGAGTTAAGGTGTAATGACATTCTAGGTGTGCATTAGGAAGATAACTCTTAGCCACATTTTGAAAGATGACATGGGCAAAGTTGGAAGTCTGCAAAGGAACTTCTTGAAAGGAGGTCATTGTGAATCTGAAACAAATAAATTATACAACTTAAATGATACCAAATAAGAATAAACTTTAACCTTCAAAAAAATGTAACATTTAATGTAAATTTCACATCTGCATGCCATAATTATTGAAATGTACTTTTTATACATTTGACTATCTCCTTAGAAACATGATAAAATATAAAAATAGAAACAAATGAATAACTAGAATCAAATGGCTCAGATTATTATACGGAAATTTAAAATTTTGCCTTTTTTTTTAAGTTTGCTAGAGGGCATGTGGTCACCAGAAACAGAGAGACAAAGGGACAGGGAGAAGGCACCCCCTGCCTGGGGAATAGTCATGTGGCACTCTCTTCTCTACCATCTCTTTCTCCTTTTGGGATTTTTGGACATATACACAAAGGCACCCCAGCATGTTTTTCAAGCCACTGGGTCTAGGACAATGCCCTTAGGCAAATGGAATCTTGCTGCCTTAACCACTAGGCCACCACTGACCCAGAAATTTAAAAGTTTAAAAGAAAAACAAAAACAAAAGTTCCCTATTATCCTGGAAAGCCTAGCCCTCTACTTCTATTCCAACCAAAAGCAAATGCACTAGAGGTAAGTTTTAGTGTAACCATGCTGATATAAATCTGCTGGGTCCCAACAATAGACAGTAAGAAACAGAAACAAGGACAGTTTAAAAGTCAGTATTTTGGAGCCAAAAAGTGACATAGTGGTTAAGGCACTGGACTCCCTCTTAGCTGACAGCAGTTCAAGTCCCAGACCCAGAAGCTTGAAACTCATGCCAGGCGCATGTGCATCTGTGCCCAAAATCCCAAGAGAAAAACAGATTACAGCATGGCCGTCCCCCTAGGAAGTGATTTCATACTTTTTTGCTCTGTCTGTCTCTCCAGAGTGTGCATGTGCCCTATAGCAAAAATCTATTTTAAAAAAGGCAAGGGGATCAGCAGTTAGTGTAATGGCTATGTCGCTGAACTCCCATGTAGTCGACCATGGTTTGAGTCATGTATCCGGTGGCTTAAACTCACGCCAGGCACATGTGTGTGGGTACCTAAAATCCAGAGAGGAGAATGGAGAAGAAGGGATTGCGGCATGGCCACCTCCCCTGGGGGGTGATTTCTCTGATTTCTCGCTTTCTGTCTCTGTCTTTCTGGCAAGCGCACGTGCCCTATAGCAAAAACCTCTCCCTCCCCCCCCAAAAAAAAAGGCAAGCATTTCATTGGCTACTGGTCAATTAACATTTCCTCACGACGGACGACGTAGAGCCCTGGAACTTCATCGCTTTCCTCTGTAACCTAGCCCATCTCATTCCTCTTCTGTCCTCTCCCTATATTGTAGGCTTTTATAACCAAACCTAATGCTAACCTCTCTGTGCTGATGTTCCTGCCCCATGTCCCAATCCCTGGACCAGCATTTCTCAGTCCTCGTTATTCATTAGAATCATTAAGGACCTTTAAATTTAATTTTAAAAAAGGGTAGCGGGGGGATCAGCAGTTGGGGTAATGGCTATGTCGCTGGACTCCCATGTAGTTGACTGCAGTTTGAGTCCCAGACCCGGCAGCTTAAACCCATGCCAGGTGCATGTGCGTGCGTGCCCAAGATCCCAAGAGGAGAAGGGATTGTGGTGTGGCCATCCCCCCCGGGAAGTGATTTCTTGCTTTCTGTCTCTCTCCGTCTTTTTGGTGAGCACAGGTGCCCTATAGCAAAAAAAAACAAAAAAAAAAAGAAAAGAAAAGAAAAGAAAAGACAATTCTTGAATGTTAGCTTACACGAAGTTCAAATCTCAGCTCCAACATTTAATAGATAACCTTGAGCAAACCACTTTTCTCTCTGGATCTGTTCCCTCATCTGCTAAATGGGGAATATCAGATGAAAGATCTTTGTGAAGTATAAAGTAATAAATGTGTTACATGTTTATTTCAGTTATAATTAAAACTAATCATTACATTCTTAAGAGTTAAAATTGCCAGAAAACCTCCAGCACTGCAATGACCATCTCAACATAATTTTTCAAGCAAGTATTAGACAAATTGGTAAAATATAAGAACTGAGAGTCCTGTCATCAGAGTTTAATTTTAAATCATGTAAAACAAAACATTCTCCTAAAGTAAGACAATATGAGCAATTATTATTATTTTTTTTTTTTAGGTTTTTTTTTCTTAGGGCATATATGCTTAGGAGGTGTAGGGGGACACAGATAAAGACAGAGGGAAAGTCAAAAATTACCCCCCAGAAGGGATGGCCATGCCATAATCCCTTCTCCTCCATTCTCCTCCCTGGATCTTGAACACCCAGCATGATTCTCAAGTCACCAGGTCCAGGGCTCAAACCACAGTTGTCCATGTGGGAGTCCAGTGACGTAAGCAATATACCATCTGCTGGCCCATTATGAGTAATATTTAAGTACACAGGACAAGAATGGAAAAGATAATACATAGCATACGCTATTCATTCATCTATTTAAAAAGCAAATGTAAAAAGCTTATGTGAAAGAAATATTCAGAAAGTTTTCATACCTTGAATATACCAACCCAATCTTTTGGATGTGGATGGATATATGGAGTTAAGGTGTAATGACATTCTAGGTGTGCATTAGGAAGATAACTCTTAGCCACATTTTGAAAGATGACATGGGCAAAGTTGGAAGTCTGCAAAGGAACTTCTTGAAAGGAGGTCATTGTGAATCTGAAACAAATAAATTATACAACTTAAATGATACCAAATAAGAATAAACTTTAACCTTCAAAAAAATGTAACATTTAATGTAAATTTCACATCTGCATGCCATAATTATTGAAATGTACTTTTTATACATTTGACTATCTCCTTAGAAACATGATAAAATATAAAAATAGAAACAAATGAATAACTAGAATCAAATGGCTCAGATTATTATACGGAAATTTAAAATTTTGCCTTTTTTTTTAAGTTTGCTAGAGGGCATGTGGTCACCAGAAACAGAGAGACAAAGGGACAGGGAGAAGGCACCCCCTGCCTGGGGAATAGTCATGTGGCACTCTCTTCTCTACCATCTCTTTCTCCTTTTGGGATTTTTGGACATATACACAAAGGCACCCCAGCATGTTTTTCAAGCCACTGGGTCTAGGACAATGCCCTTAGGCAAATGGAATCTTGCTGCCTTAACCACTAGGCCACCACTGACCCAGAAATTTAAAAGTTTAAAAGAAAAACAAAAACAAAAGTTCCCTATTATCCTGGAAAGCCTAGCCCTCTACTTCTATTCCAACCAAAAGCAAATGCACTAGAGGTAAGTTTTAGTGTAACCATGCTGATATAAATCTGCTGGGTCCCAACAATAGACAGTAAGAAACAGAAACAAGGACAGTTTAAAAGTCAGTATTTTGGAGCCAAAAAGTGACATAGTGGTTAAGGCACTGGACTCCCTCTTAGCTGACAGCAGTTCAAGTCCCAGACCCAGAAGCTTGAAACTCATGCCAGGCGCATGTGCATCTGTGCCCAAAATCCCAAGAGAAAAACAGATTACAGCATGGCCGTCCCCCTAGGAAGTGATTTCATACTTTTTTGCTCTGTCTGTCTCTCCAGAGTGTGCATGTGCCCTATAGCAAAAATCTATTTTAAAAAAGGCAAGGGGATCAGCAGTTAGTGTAATGGCTATGTCGCTGAACTCCCATGTAGTCGACCATGGTTTGAGTCATGTATCCGGTGGCTTAAACTCACGCCGGGCACATGTGTGTGGGTACCTAAAATCCAGAGAGGAGAATGGAGAAGAAGGGATTGCGGCATGGCCACCTCCCCTGGGGGGTGATTTCTCTGATTTCTCGCTTTCTGTCTTGGTCAATTAACATTTCCTCACGACGGACGACGTAGAGCCCTGGAACTTCATCGCTTTCCTCTGTAACCTAGCCCATCTCATTCCTCTTCTGTCCTCTCTCAATTAACATTTCCTCACGACGGACGACGTAGAGCCCTGGAACTTCATCGCTTTCCTCTGTAACCTAGCCCATCTCATTCCTCTTCTGTCCTCTCCCTATATTGTAGGCTTTTATAACCAAACCTAATGCTAACCTCTCTGTGCTGATGTTCCTGCCCCATGTCCCAATCCCTGGACCAGCATTTCTCAGTCCTCGTTATTCATTAGAATCATTAAGGACCTTTAAATTTAATTTTAAAAAAGGGTAGCGGGGGGATCAGCAGTTGGGGTAATGGCTATGTCGCTGGACTCCCATGTAGTTGACTGCAGTTTGAGTCCCAGACCCGGCAGCTTAAACCCATGCCAGGTGCATGTGCGTGCGTGCCCAAGATCCCAAGAGGAGAAGGGATTGTGGTGTGGCCATCCCCCCCGGGAAGTGATTTCTTGCTTTCTGTCTCTCTCCGTCTTTTGGGTGCGCACAGGTGCCCTAGAGCAAAAAAAAACAAAAAAAAAAAGAAAAGAAAAGAAAAGAAAAGAGAGAAAGAAATAGAAATAGAAAAGGGAAAAGAGAACAAAAACTACTTTCTAGGCATGGGACCTGAACATGTGATAAAGTATGTGTATTTCCCATCCCCAGTCATCCCAAGTAATCTTAATCCTGATACAGCCAAGATATAGAACCACTACTGAAGACTCTGATCATCAAAACCAACAATTTTGGGAACCAGCAGTTAGTATAATGACTATGTCACTGGACTCCCACGTATTCGACCGCGGTTCGCGTCCCAGACCCGGTGGCTTGAAACTCACGTCGGGCGCGTGCGTATGCGTGTGTGCCCAAGATCCTGAGAGGAGAATGGGGGAAAAGGGATTGCGGCGTGACCATCCCCTCTGGGGGGTGATTTCTCGCTTTCTGTCTCTATGTCTCTGTCTGTCTGG